AACGTTGGCCATCTTCCGTTTCTTCCTGTCACCGAACGTCATTATAAAGGCGAATGGTGATAACAAATGCCCGAAATCAATTAATCGAAAACTGACGAGGATATGCTGAGGCAACGAGTGACGGAAATATCGATCAGGGGCAAAATGTTCATTTGTCTTGACGGAACACAGGCGAAAGTCAGAGGTCGATCAGCTTCCGCATGTGACAAGCGGAAGACCAACGCCAAGCTTATGGCTGACTAACTACGATGACCAGAGTCGTAGAGTTCTACATGAACAGACATGATAATTTTCATTTTGGCATCTTCCAGCCCAAGCAACATCTTTTACGAACAGCAACAATAAAAAACATGCCGCCTACACATTACGATACACCGTGTTTAGTGATATTTCAAACAGTACCATTTTGGGGCAAAAGAAACCGGAAACTAAACAAGATACGTGTCACTTAGCTGTAGACCAGTGATCCCGAATCCCGGGCCGTGCACGACGCTAAAAAAAATGGTCGCAGAGACGTTCTTGAAGGGCTCAGGAAAAACGAAGTATCATGAAAACTTATGCTTTACATTTTTTTTCTCATCAAAAACTTATGAAAATGCATTCTGCTTTAGCTATTTAAATTAGGTCGTTGATGAAATATAATGTGAAATATAATGTACACTAAACGCATATAAAAATAATAAGCAACTAAATCGTATCCGGCCTTTGAGACGGTGGGTCAAGAAAAGATGACGACTGAGGATCGCGATCAAGAAAGTCTTTACACAACACACAGCTGTAGGCATTGCTTCAACGCAAAGGCATTCACAGCCGATAACATAGAAATGTAGATCGGTGCCACTCTATCAGTTCCATGTAAAAATGGTTGCCACAGATGGCACCAACCATATGAGGACAGAAAAGAATGTCAGTCCTCACGGTTACAACGCTGTCGTAAATCTTTTACCGTAGGAGCGAGGTATCATACGATTTAACCGACGGAGGAACCTTCGTCCCTTGAGCAAGAAATTTGATTCACGTTGCTGCGGCGCAATCTGCCGAGAAACGGATATTAGGACTGTGACTGGCGAATAATAGGGACATTACAGTATTCTGATCTGATCACACGAGAATGGACGAGGTGCACGGCGAAGTTGATCGATGCGAGTGCCCCCTGTGGTCGTACTTCTCCTTGATGCGCCTGATACCTGAAAATCCAGTGTAGAAATAAGCATAAGGTGCAACTATGCTTTCCGTTGCTTTCTTCTTTCTAGAGGTTTTTCCGGTAGAAGCTTGCAGTGGGTGTAGGGAAATAAATAAATTACTGTCAGATATTAATATCTTGTTTAAAGATCATCAAAGTCCACTCACGAGATCATTCAATTTATCAATGAACTACAAAAGGCTTCCTACCCTAAATGAATTACAGTCTACAAAAGAAGGGAACATAACATACCACTACACAATTACGATTTCTCCTTGTCATCTGAGGCTGAGAGAGCTTAAATAAGAGAGTTTCCGAGACTTACAATGTCGGACCATGAGGAATGATATCTCAAGTAGATACTGTTCAGCGTTCACTACTGCGGTAAAGGTCATATTCCCTTTCGAAAGCACGTCTGTCACAACCAGGTGCTTCAGCGTTTTGTACTTCTGTTGTGCGACGTTCCAAAGCGAGAAAGGTTTTGAATATGTTTCGAGCGTCAGTCTCGGACACCATGTGATAATTTTCTCAGATCGGTGATGGTCAACACCTACTCGTTCGTGGACACTTCGCCCAGAGCGCGTTGGAAGGTCTCCAAACAAGCTTCATGAAGGTTCGGGATAGAAAATATTTCGAGACTACAACAGGACCGCGAAAACAGCTCTTCTCAGGGTGGTGGCTCTCCTACGTGCCAGCTTAAATGCTCCGATCCTTCAACATGCCGTACAGCTTGCCACAGTTCATTGGCATAAGTTCGACGTGTCAATTCACTTCAGGATTAGTGTCGCTATCGTTAATCAACACCGTTTCTAGATACTTGAAATGGTCTACCTGCACATGAGAATACCACCCAAAATCCTCACGTATTCCTACACCATTGCGAACCTAGATTTGGCACTGGTCCTCTTAAAATGTAATGTCTAAACATCTTATATTATTTTGGACAAAAGCGTAACGATATCCTTCCCCCATACTTTCCAAATGCCAGATCCTTCAAATAATCGACTTCAGGCAGTTCTGCACTGACCGAAATCCAGAACCAACCAGCGAATAATGCAGCTGAAGACATCGATTCGATTGTGTCTTTTTTTCTAACCTTATGTACCATTATATGCTGCATGATGTATATCTTTTATATGCCTCATATGCATTTCTCGCTTTGCTTCTGCTAAAATGTAATAACGCCTTATTTAAAATGTAATGTTGCATTGAAAAGGTGCGAAACTACGTCTAACTGAGAAAATTGATCTGTGCACCGGAATACCGACTTTGCGAAATCAACAGAATAGTTATAATGGCATGGATAATTTTGCAAAACAGAAAATGATCTTATTTGACAAATTGTTCCTGTGCTTGAAAAGAAACGTTCTTGACAAGAGTGTGGCTGCAGGGAAAAGTGCATCATAAGGCTTTATGCTATACATAAACCGCAAACCAGGCGATGCAGCGCGGACAGATGTACGTTTGGGATAACTAGAGAAGATAGGAAGACGAACGAATCGGCAAGGGCTTAAAAGAAAACCTGCGATGTCACTGCGAGTGAAAATATTAAATTAGCAACTGACAAGACACTGGACGAAGAACCGAGATGAGACATTAGACTCGCTTACAAAAGTGGGAAAACGGCTTTTGGAAATGCTTCCAGATTGATGGCAGGATGAACTGAAGAAGCTCCTTCGATCAAGGTAGATAAAAATCGTTAAAATAAGAAGCTTATGACAAAGTCTTGGAAAGTCCTTCAATCAACAGTGGTTCGGCAAAGTTTGACGATGATAATTAATGAATGAATTCCTCACTTTGCACTTCAATTTCAGACTGACTAACTTACGGATTCCTTAGGACTCAGTAATTTCGCAACTGACACAACCAGCCAGTCACATTTGAAAACATCTATGTAATAATGTCCGTTATCTTCGCCTTATATTTTCTTATATTATGTGTAACATATGGCCATTATATGTCATTTTTCCTTGCTTTACTGCGAAACTTCAGATGAGATAGATTATGGACTTCGGACAGCTTGAGAGATTCCAAAATAACCGTAAAGCCTGAGCCTCAACTTAAGTTGGCTGCGAAATTACGGCACCGAACAGCTAGTGAGACAACAGCCGAAACATCGCTCGACGCTTATGTCGAAACTTGATGCCTCTAACTTAATCGAACGTCAGTCACTGTCATGTCGATGAAAGGTCAGGGATAGAAAAAATGAGATATTATCGCCGCAACCTCAGCGGCAGATGGGGACTCCGGAAAAAAGCAGAACGCCTCATTGCAAGACGTCAATCATTTGCATAGTCGTAGAATCGACTCGTTTGAGTGACAGCAACAAAATGAATAATGAAAGTATGCAACGGTCAAGCTGGGCAAATCCAATGAACAGATTAAACAGCATGGCTACAAGTGAGACGCTGAACATATCAGGAGAAAAAGCACTGATTGGATATCATCATTAGTATTTCATCGAATTCATAAAAAGTTATGATCGATGCTTCTGACAGATTTTTAATTGTGTCAAATGTAGCTGTGCGGCTTCAAGCAACTACTTAA